GGTGAGTAATTTGCTGGATTTTCAAATGGGCATTCCTTTGTAAGGTCCGATCAGAGTACTTGTGCCGAGGCCTGATCGTTCTCTGCCGGTTGCCGTTTATGAAGTCTTATTTGAACAACTGATCACAACTCTTGTCCATAACTTTGAACGTGACCTTCTTCCAACTGGTGAGTTGGACCCCATAATCAAGAAAGTATTTGTGTGCTTACACTCCTTGGACGCGATCACTACAGCGTAGGTTTTGGCTGTCTATAGAGGACATCTTTCCCTAACCACAGGAAGGGATTAAAACGGAAATAAACAATATTAGAGATCAGTGCAGAAGTCTCCTACCCCTATAGACAAGATTGGGAACAGCAAGCACAAATTATTGAAGAAAATGACCCGTTTAGTTCTCTTGAGCTATCGTGAATGTATTAAAAATGGTAATCAAAGTAAAGGGAAAAGTCGGCAATGTTCAGAACTCAAGAATTATCAAGAGACAAAGTAGATAAATGAAAAGATTTGACTGATATATTCTTCCTTTTCTTCTTTCCTTTTCGAAGGATACTGATTTTTTTTTGTCAAAGCATTAAAATCGCAAAAACATTCCGGCGTTGAGGCTTTCACGGAAAGAACAGAAGGCCCTTTTAGTGTTCAACAATAAGAAAAACTTTAGCCTTTATATTTGTTATTGCGCTTCTTATTTTTATGCATTGAATGAGGAGCTACACTTTGGATGCTGGTTCAGCGCAAAAAGTACCGCTTGAAAATAATTGCAAAATTAAGGTATTAATATCACACAACACTTCTAGGACAATCAAATTTTTGTTTAAAAAAAGGCTTTGCTTCTACTCTAACATCACCTCAGTTCATTTTCCTTCTGTTTTTCCCTATTTTCCAACATTTTCTTTCCTTCCTCACGACGTCGCCGTTCCTTCTCAATCTGAAATAAAATAACTTTTATAAAAAAAAAACAGACGCTATTATCAATGACACCTGTTCTTTTTTCTCCTGTTCTTCTTTCTTAGCGCGCACAGCTCTGATTTTCTCGCGGATTTCAGCAGTTTTCTTAGCGCGCTCCTCTGGAGTAAGCGGCGCAATCACCTGTACGAGATCAATTGATACTACTATAATTAACTGAACAATATTACATTCACCTCTTCACTTTCTGAGAAATTCTCATGTCCCGATTTAGCCGCATGAAACATCATTGATCCTTCATCACGAAACAATTTGTTGCAACTAAAACTCATCTAGGAAGGTGAAAGATGAGCAAAAAATACATTTTGTTTACTCATTGCATTTATAACTGCCAGGAGTATGCTCCGTAAGTTCAGGCGACCCTGTCTTTCCTGCCTCTGTGAATGGATGTTCTTTATCTTCAAACGACTCTGTTTTCCTTTCTTCGATAGGAGGATGCTCATCAGAGGGTAAAGGAATTTCTTCTCCTTCGTGACTGATCAGCCAGTCCATGGCCTAAATAAAAACAGACGGCGATATGGATTTTAGCACCATTGATGCGTGGCCTCCACTCAAACCACGTACCTCCTCAGCAACAGACACTTATTAACAAATTCATATATCCGATAAATTGGGCTAAACATCATCTGCTGTCTGGGGGGCACATCGTCGTAATTGCTATATAATGCTTTATCGGCTACCCCACTTACCTTACGTTTACAGTTTCGCGTCACAAAGTGATGTGATGCTTGTATGCGGCGCGGCAATTATCATATATTAGCAGGAAATCCTGTATTCACAAACAATCAACATGGCGCAATTGTATCACCACATAACTAAATTCATTCAAATTCAGCTTTCGACTGCTTTCGAATTTTTTATTCTAGATTGCTTCTAAAGAAGTTTCGTGCCAAATTAGCCTCGACTAGTGAAAATCTATCGCGATGCCAATGGGACGCAATTACGACATGTCGATTGTTGGACATATACGGAACCTCTATATTCGCACCACCACTCCCTTTTTTTTCACAGAA